TTTTGAGATGTTTGAGGTAAGACATGAGAAGTAAATATGTGGTGTTGTGGACGTCCAACAATGCCCATACGAGGTACTATATGTCCATCTTTTGCTGGACAAAAACAGCATTGCAGTCTTCCCTCACCCTCCCTGTTCCCCAGATCTAGCTCTCTGACTTTTTTATTTTCCCCAAAATAAAAAAGGCACTCAAGGAGCAGCATTTTAACCACGTGGAAGAGATTCAAGCAGAATTCCAGGCGGCACTAGATGCCATTAGGAAAGAAGTTGCAGAAATGTTTCGAGGAGTGGCAGAGGTGCTTTGAGGGCGATTGTTTCAAGAAGGTAATTAGGCAAGACTGTGTAGTTTTACGTGGAAGTCCAGGAACTTTTTGAGAGCATGTCAGTGCCCTGTGGCCTGGTAGGCAGCACTCTCCTCACACACTGAGTGTTCATGGTTCGATCCCCAGCAAGGGTAGAAACCTTGGGCATATTTCCTTACACCAGTTGTTCTTGTTCACCTAGGAAGCAAGCAGGTACCTGGGTGTTAGTTGACGGGTGTGGGTCGCATCCTGGAGGACAAGGTTTCAGGACCACAGTGGAAATAAGAGTCCTCAATGACACAATGACTTTCTTGGGTCATCCTGGGTGGCTAACCCTCTTAATACCTGGAGTGCATTTCGAGAGTCGATGCCCGCCACGACCCGGTCCATGACCAGGCCTTGCGGTGGATCAGGGCCTGATCAACCAGGCTGTTACTGTTGTCTGCACGCAGACCGACGTACGAACCACACTCCGACTGGTCAGGTACTGACTTCAGGTGCCTGTCCAGCTCCCTCTTGAAGACAGCCAGGGGTCTATTGGTAATCCCCCTTATGTATGCTGGGAGGCAGTTGAACAGTCTTGGGGCCCTAACACTTATTGTGTTGTCTTTTTACTGGGGGGGGGGTTGCATTGCCTATGAGACTTGCCTTCGTAGTATAAAAAAGGTTTGTTTGGTAGGTGCTGCAAGCGGCTGGTTAAATGATAAACTCTTCGGAGGCTTCTTACTTTATTGTTAAGTAGTGGTGGGTAAACAGGCTTGTGTTGTGCCCATGGCCCGGGAGGGCCATGCCCACGAGAGAGAGCTGGGGGTACTTGTGTCTTCCTGCTAGGCCGCTGTGTTTAGGTTGGATAAGTACATGAGTGGGGGGGGTTGGATTTGAGTGGGACTTGCGCATCAGAGCTTGTTTCTTGGGTGGCATTGAAAATTGGGTTAGTCAAATGTTTGTTAGTGGGATGAATTGTAAAGGACCTGCCTAGTGTGGGCCAACAGGCCTGTTGCAGTGTTCCTCCTTTCTTGTGTTCTTGTGAGTGAGAGGGAGGCATGGGCCGGCAGGCTGGCGTGCCTGCCTAGAGGCCTGGCTACAGAGGGCAGCACCTGAGTGGCGCGAAATATGAACTAAGCTGACAGACAGCATGGGCTGTCTGTGCAGACAGTACAGGCTGTCTACATACGCTCAGCCACCTACCGCGCATCGTCCCGACGCGACAATACTGGTGGTAAAAGAAACTCGGTCTCTCTCTCGTAGGAACGGGGCACAGAACAAAATAAAAACATATATATACATATGAACATGGAAAAAAAACTTCCTACAGGGAGGGGAAAAAAAAACATGTGGGTGTGCTAAACATCGTGGTCAAAGGCAGTGAGTGTCGAAGGGCAACACTGCACGCCTTCCTGCGTCTGGACAGATACTGCAACATGGGAGACATCGCTGCGGCTGAGCTGTGACGTAACAAGTTACGGTCTCCTCTGGAACGGTGAAGCAGTCATCGTAGGAGTCGCTGCAGGTTTCACTCAACCTGGGACACGACATGCTGGTGCCCTCGAGTGAGGCGTCGACAAAACTCGGCAACTGGGCAGGACTTCTGGCAAGCGACTCAGGAGGACACTTCTCGACTGGTACTGTCGCTGGGCTGTCACTGCCGGCGAGTGTGGAGTGAGTTGTGGAGCGAGTCGTGGCAGAGACGACTGGGCGAAACATCTGGGAGTCGTAACATCATACACCAGACTGCAGTGAGAGAGCTAGCAGTCAAAGTGACATCATCTTTGTGCAGGCTGCTCACTGAAGTTTGTGACACGAGGCTGACACAGTGTGTCATTCTCTCGGCAGTTGGAGTTATAGCAGAGGTTAGTCTAAGCGTCCCCAGACTTGTTTCTCTACATATAACTGCACTCTGAAGGTCTGGAGGTGAAGTGAAACAAATCTCGATGGGAATCATAGCAGGTATGATTCTGCAGAACATCACGAGCGACGAGCATAAAAGCTTTCTGTACAAGAGGGCTCATATGCTCAGGGCTGAGTAATCAGCTGTCAAACACACTGGTCACACGGGTGACTTAACACAGTGGTGCTACTCGGGTCTGGCTCAGACCTCACTGGACACACGGAAACTTTAAAAACACACCGCGGTACAACATGGCTTAAACTAGCAAATGATACTTTTCTGTGCATAAAACTGACTAAGACATACTAAAATGTGAGAACACTGACTGAGAGGAATTAATTAACACACGACATATATTTTCTCTCAGTCTTCTCGACAATATTAAAATAATTACTAGAAACACTCGATGTGACATGTGATGTCAGGCGTGATGTTGCGAGGTGACGTCAGCAGCACTGTGACGTCAGCAGACATCTCGAGGTGACGTCAGCAGACATCTCGAGGTGATGTCAGCAGACATCTCGAGGTGACGTCAGGCAGACATCTCGAGGTGACGTCAGCAGACATCTCGAGGTGACGTCAGCAGACATCTCGAGGTGACGTCAGCAGACATCTCGAGGTGACGTCAGCAGACATCTCGAGGTGACGTCAGCAGACATCTCGAGGTGACGTCAGCAGACATCTCGAGGTGACGTCATGAAATCGGGCAGCATCGTGGGTGACGTCAATGTGATGCGGGCAGCAGACCACAGCATGTGGCCTGGGACATCTGGTAACTCACGTGGCATGTAGATCTACGTGACATTGCCCACACCCAACGTGGCGTCGTGATCCACGTGGTGTCATGATCTATGTGGCATGCTGATCCACGTAGCTTCGAGTGGCCTCGGGCACTCGGATACACAGCTCTGGCAATGAATTCACATGGAAAACAGCAGAAAACACAGCAGAGGGAGTGGGCAGTGGTGAGTGGTGTATGGTAGACGGGTGAGCGAGGAGCGTGGGTGAGTGTATGGCAAGGGAGCATCTGGCGGTCTCTCCTCCTCCCACCCACAAACACAGGGAAACACACTGGATGCAGGAATCACCACAAAACTCACCTTTGGCTTGCTGAAACGGCTGTGCTGAGCTGAACAACAACAACAGCAACATACAAGTGACGCTGAACACGTGACTTGAGAAACAGCGTGGGACACTGTAGCATGGAGTCACTGTAGCGTGGGGTCACTGTGACGCCACTTACAATTCTCGGAGAATTTCGGCAAATTTCGGCCTGGATCCTGCTTGTACCTGTGTCTGGATGCTCAAACGTGCAGACACGACATCAGGATAACTTGTTGAGAGACGGATGCTTCTTGTATGGGATGATGAAGTGAAGATGACTTCATACCTCTTCCTTCCTCTCTCAGGGTAAACACAACGCTGCGATCACCGCTGCCACCAATATAAAAAAGGTTTGTTTGGTAGGTGCTGCAAGCGGCTGGTTAAATGATAAACTCTTCGGAGGCTTCTTACTTTATTGTTAAGTAGTGGTGGGTAAACAGGCTTGTGTTGTGCCCATGGCCCGGGAGGGCCATGCCCACGAGAGAGAGCTGGGGGTACTTGTGTCTTCCTGCTAGGCCGCTGTGTGAGTGAGAGGGAGGCATGGGCCGGCAGGCTGGCGTGCCTGCCTAGAGGCCTGGCTACAGAGGGCAGCACCTGAGTGGCGCGAAATATGAACTAAGCTGGCAGACAGCATGGGCTGTCTACAGTAGGGAGTGATTTTAGTATATAGATTTGGGAATAGTCCCGCAAGGATTTTCCAAGTGTATATTATCAATTTATTATTGGTTTAAATGCAGGGCCAGGAGCTGAGACACTACTTCATCATACAAAAATACTGTGAGTAAACTGCTGAATAATTACACTGGTTAGAAGTCACACTGGTGAGAAGCTACACTGGTGAACAGTTACACTGGTGAACAGTTACACTGGTGAATAGTTACACCAGTGGGAAGTTACACTGCTAAGAAGCTACACTAATGAAAAGTCACAATATTGAGAAGCTATACAGATGAGAAAAAACACTGGTGAGAAAAGTCACACTGGTGATAAGCCACACTGTCCCTGCACTATCCCTCAAGAGGTTATCCACTCAACAACTTCCTGAGGGCTAGTGAGAGAGTCTGTCACCATAGGGTTGTAAGCAAGGCATGTATTAAGAATATTCCCCAGAAGCCAATCCACCTCAGATGCTTTATAGGTATTTTGTAAATAGTAATAAATAACACATTTCTCCTACCCAGTAGGAGAAACATTTCTGAATAATGGTACCTATCTTTTGCACACGTGTCTTATTTATCAACTTGTCAGTGCTATTGTATACCATTATCACGTTTTTTAATCATTTTCATTTAACACTAAACATGTTTTAGTCACAGTGCAGTCTAAAAAAGGTATCTCCCATGTACCATAGTCTATCTGGCCTCTTAAGCTCTCTCAGAAAGGAGTTATGAGTCTGACTGGACTCCTGAGGAAGAAAAACATTTCTACTATTAACTAGAGGCACCGTAATTTATTTTATGCTCTATGATAGGGCTCTTGGAATGATAAAAATGAGGCCCTTTAGGGCTATAAGAATGACAAAGGGCTAAGAGACTCGGAACTGGGAATAAACCCAGTTAAACTGAAAATATTTATGCAATAAGTAGCTCAGAATGTGTTTCCTCTTTTTGGGTCATGATACTTTGGTCGGAGACAGCCAGTGTGTTGCAAATTGTTATCTGTTTCCAATTTCTGAGAAAATTGAAAAATATTGTTCCATTTTTCAGGTGGTGGTGAGAGAAGGAGCAAGAAAGGCCATCCCAGGTGGTGTGGGTGCAAGAGGGAAGACCATCCCAGCTGGTGTTGGTGTGAGAGGGAAGACCATCCCAGCTGGTGTGGGTGTGAGAGAAAAGACCATCCCAGCTGGTGTGGGAGGGATGGCAGGCAATGTGTTAGTGGGGCTTGGTGCCTGTGCCCTTCTAGTTCTGTTTTTGGGCCCCAGCAACACCTTGTCTACAATGTGTTAGTCAAATATTACTTTCTATAAGTTTTTCTATAATAACTCAGCACTGAGAATGTTGACATTACATTTTTTTTTTAAGAATAACTCCACTTTACTGAAGTTAAATTTTTGAATTGGTGTAATTAGAATGTCATGAAATTTAAATGCTTTTTAAATGATTTATACGTATTGGTTTCTTGTGTAACATAGTCTTTGTGATTATACATTATTATTATGTATTATGTATTTTTTTATGTTTGCTTACCACTGAATATGTATTATAATATAAATAAATCATCTCTGTATAGTGTGATTATTTTTGTGAATGAGATTGAAAAAGTACATTTAAATTGATTAGCACATATGTACTATGAAACCCATTCCACATGCTGTTAAATTTTGGATGTACTTGTCCAACTGTATTTACAAAAAAAATCACACTGTATAGAGGAGCTTTATGAGAGTCGACTGTACAGCATCTATCTGTTATTTGGGATCTAAGTTTTGTAAACTTTCATTTGTGATAAATGGCAAACAAATCTTAGTTACCCTATGATGCTCAGTGTTCACTGAGCATTTACATAAATGTACTTTAAAATTTAGAAAGCTCTTACTTATGGAATAAAATGTGATGCAGCTGGATTTTATACGGGAAGATTTACTGTGACTTGCTTATTATTTCTTCATGGTTTTCAGTGCCACCACGCCTGAGCTCCAAACAGAGTGTGTTACGGGTAACTGAAGGCCAGACTGGAGCTGTACTGGATTGCAATTTAGATGTTGGTGATGACCCTATTGCTTACCGCTGGCTCAAGGTACTGCATATATCTCTTCTCAATGTTCTAGTGGATGACTGTGTTCATAGTGGATGACTGTGGTTCTTAAGCTAATTTTGATGCAGAGTTGTCAGTAGATGACGGATATGCTGAAACACTCAGGTATTTTATAGAGCATCTCTGGTCTGATTTACCTTGTGCTAATTTATACAGGTAAGAATAAAGCATAATTGCATGCCCCAGAGCCCATTTCAGAGCAGTGCTTCTAGCTGAGTCAGGGTCCTCTTCAATGTAAAAATCTGCTACTTTACAGACTTTATCTCCAGGTTTTTCTACCTCATCTCCTGTTATCTGCCTCCCTTCTGTTTAGGAAAAGAGCTCCTCCATCTTTCCTTCTGCAGTTTGTTCTTCAAAGAGTTCATGTACATCTGCCAGAATGTCTTCAAATCCCTCACCTGGCACTCTTCACGCCAAAGCCACAATTTCCTGGACCTGACTTCTATTGAGGGAAAAATAATGAGAAATTATTCACCACACTAGGCCACAATTTCCTCCAGCCTGTATTTATTGTTGACACTGGAGTGCCGTAACTCTGACACTCCACTGTCTGCATGGTTTTTCATTGCTCTGAGGGATTTCTGCACCACCTTTAGTGTGTATTGGCACTTAAATGTCTTAATCACTCCTTGATCCAGTGGCTGTATCCAAGCTGTCACATTTGTTGGTGAAAGCAACTTTTATATTTGAGTCCAAAGTTGAGGATGGCTATAAGAAATATCAAGAGTGAGGAGATTAGTATTATTATTATAATCATAACCAAGCACTGAACCCATAAGGGGAGAGTGAGGAGAGTCTTGAATAAAAAGCTCTTTCTGTGCAGGTACATCTTGACTGAAGGAATATTCTAATTCTTGAGCTAGTCAATAAACAAGGCTTCACTCATCCACACTGTGTTGTTAGACTGCCAAATAACAGGCAAAGTTGTTTTGTGTTTACCTTTCAAAGATTGGACTTCTGAGAGTGATAAATATGTATCAGCATGCGCTTAAAATCACCTGATGCATTAGAACTTAGTAGCAAGCTGAAACAGTCCTGTCTTCATTCATGTAATCATGCAGCAACCACACTTAATGCTACTTAGCTAAGGTTGGTATAGTACAAGCAACCACCAGCTTATGACTAAGTAGCTTATGCCTCCTCTCCCCCCTCCCCCTACATTTATGATTGTATTTTCATGGTAAAATAGCCCCTAAAAAAAAAAAAATTCTTAGGGAATGAAATTAGCTTTCAAGAAGGAAACAGAGGATTTCCATTCAAGATATTCCCATTGCAATTCCCATGCCAAAATCTTTTTGTTTGTTATTTTTCTTATGAATGTTAACATAAACCAGATTAGATTAACATTTAAATAGATGTTAAAAATTTAGCTAAGTGTCTATTTTCCATTTGCTTGATGTATGACTCTCAAATGGAAATGAACTACAGTGGACCCTTGGTTATCGGCCATTCTGGTTATTGATCAGCTCGGTTATCGGCCGGTTTTTCGGCTTCCGGTTATCAGCCATTATTTTGCTTATTGGCCGTATTGGACGCGTCCCTCAGCTGCCCGCCAGCTGCTCGTGTGTCTCGTGATTAAATCTGCAGTGTCTCTGGGCTAGTGAGGAAACTTCTGCTCATTCATCCAAACATTTCTCTATAATCCATTGTTTTTTGTGGTTATTGATTGAGTGCAACTGCGAAATAAGCAACCATGGCCCCAAAGAAAGTTCCTTTGGTAAAGAATGTGAGGATCACAATGAAATTTAAGAAAGAAGTTGCTAAAAAGTATGAGAGTGAAGGAGGGAGAGAGAGGGAAGAATGTGCCTTCTTCAGCAATTCTACTATATGTACGATACTAAAGCAGCAGGAGTCGATAAAGGCTATAGTGCTAGCCAGCGATAAAGTGTAGCATTAACAGTGTAGCAAGTAAATTAAGTGATTAAGTGACAGAAAAAGGACAACACGAAACTGAGTCCTCCAATGTTGTTAAGAGGTATGTAAGGCTGGTATTAGGAGGTATATTACGTGCCCTTCCGATCTTCCACATCCCTAAACCAATGCCAGCATTCCTCCAAAGGTACAGTAAGTGTATATTTCTTATTTAAAACTAAAGAATAAAGATGCTTATTTATAAATTACGTACATTGTTTGTTGTGATAGGGGCTTTTTGCTGCTGCCACACTACACTAAGATGTAACAGTTTATTATCTCTAAACCTGATAAACCCAGCAAGGACACATCCTCCACCACCACTCGTGGGCATACATAATGACATATTTTATTCATTCGAGAGTATATATCATGTTTCTATGTTATTAATATTGTTTATTATGTCATTTTAGATGAATTATGATAGATAAATAAGCTGTAGAGTTGATATTAGCATAATATTGAAGGAGTATTTTGTCCTCCAAACAATACTTTCCTCCCTCTCCTCCATCTTCCATAAGCCAACAAGAGTCTTCAATAGAAAGTATGTAATAGTGATTTAAATGTTCACTTATTTATTTATTTTATTTAGTCCTCATTGTTTTGTGTATGTAAAACTATAGTTAATCTTTAGAAAAATGTATTTTTTGTTAATATTTTTGAGTGTCTGAAACAGATTAATAGTGTTTACATTAATTCTTATGGGAAATATTAATTCGCTCTTCGGCCATTTCAGTTTTAGGCCGACCTTCTGGAACGGATTACGGCCGATAACCAAGAGTCCACTGTATAAGATTTCTTTCAGGTTTCCCACATTCAAATTTCTTTTCTTCAAGTTAAACTGTTCTTATGAATGTCATTAGACATCAATTTAGAGCAATATTTAGAAAGAGACTGTAAAACAGTCTGTGATAATATCTTTCATTTATTGTTGTACATGGTCACTAACTGAGGGGAAACAGTTGGGTTAATTCATAAGGCATGAGCAGGTCTCTAGTAAGAGAAACGGGTTCAAGATTGTTAATTGGCAGTATTTGAAAATTAAGTAATACTTATTACAGGTTGGCCCCCCACTTATTACAGCTGGTTAGGTTCCAGGCTAATCAACCGTAAAGCGGAAACCGCCGTAAAGTGGAACACCCTTTTTTTCCACTTACAAATGCATACAAACACTAGATAAACAAGTTTACACTAACATATTTTAAAGTTAGCAATAGAACCAGACATAAAAAAAACATAAAAAAAAGTACAAAACACACCACCTTAGATGCACTCATTACTTACCTTTAAAATATTTATAGTCTTTTTATTAGGGTGGGACCAAGTAGTTTTTATTGTAAGAAATCAAGTGTGGTATGTATGGTAGTCTGCCAGGCTACCCATACTCAGGCCACCCACCCACACATACATTTCTATGATATTTAAGCATCCCAGGCGATAAAATGTTATACAGTTCCTCATTACTCACTTAAAAATATTGGGGTGAGAGATGGATTAGTTATTTATTGTATAAAAATCAAGTGGGGTTTGTTGGTAAGTCAGACGGGCTACCATACCAGGCCAACCCACCTACACATAATATTTCTATTACATTTAAGACTCCCAGAGCGATATAATGTATATAACAGTTCATCTCATTACTTACTTAAAAATATGTGTAGTCTTATTGTAAGGGTCAGGAGTAAGTAATTGAGATAAAAATGAATAAATGAGAGAGAGAATGAATGAGTGCATGAGAGAGGACAGGCGCAGGTTATGTAAACAACAGGGCAAGTTTTAGTTTTGTAAACGAGTTGTACACGTCTGGTTTGTGTGCAAGTTACATTCTGTACAGGTTGTCTCTACATTGATACGGTAGATTATTATTATAATCAAGGGGGAAGCGCTAAACCCGGAGGATTATACAGCGCCTGGGGGGGGGATGTGGAAGGCATTCAGGCTTAATTCGGGGAACTGGAGCACAGATCCAATTCCCTAAATCAAGAGCCCCTCACCAACATCAAGGAACCTTCCTTGAGGGGACTTGATACGGTAGAATAAATAAAGAAGAACACTCCCATTCTCATGTAACATCATTTTGAGAAGAAATGATGCTCTGAGTGAAGGCAATGGAAATAAGTCACTCTGACTTTTTTGGGTTATCCTAGGTTCTCTACACATATGTTGTTAAGAACATAAGAACGAAGGAACACTGCAGAAGGCCTACTGGCCCATGCGAGGCAGGTCCAAGTCTCCTACCGGCTTAAGCCAATGCACCCAACCTAGTCAGGTCAGGTCACATTGACTTAAGGGAGGAACACGGCAACCGACCTGGTAGCTCAAGCTATCAGGTCCAACTCACACCCACCCACATCCACTCATGTATTTATCCAACCTATTTTTAAAGCTACACAACGTTCTGGCCTCTATAACTGTACTCAGGAGTTTGTGCCCACTCATCCCACAACTCTATTACCAAACCAGTACTTTTCATATCATTCCTGTATCTGAAGTTTACCAACCTTTAAACCATTGCTGCGTGTCCTCTGTATAGGCTAGATTTTTTCAGCACACTATTTACATCCCCTTTATATATTCTGTTTCAATTTATAAACCTCAATCAGATCACCCCTAATTCTACGTCTTTCTAGAGAGTGCAGATTAGGGCCTCTTTGTCTAATCCTACATAGGGAAGGTATTATTGATACATGGGATCAACGTGTCATCCTCCTTTGTACATTTTCCAGTGATTTTATATCCATTCTGTAACTTACGGTGACCAAAAACTGTGCAGCATAATATAATGAGGCCTAACCAAGGATGTTTTAGGTTGAAGAACAACCGAGGCATCTCATTATTTCTGCTTCGTGATATGAAGCCAAGGATTTTATTAGCTTTATTGCGACACTTATGCACTGTTGTCATTGGTTCCGGATTTCTGCTAACCAGAACTCTAAATCTTTTGCGGCAATCCGAATTTAAGATCTACAATTATTTAGTTTATATGTCGGGCATGGTTATTGTTCCTGTCAACATTTAGAACTTTGCATTTGTCTATATTAAACTGCATCTGCCACTTCTCCGACCACTGCAGCAGTCTATTCAAATCTTCCTGGAAGTCTCGAACTGTCCTGTCAGATTGAATTGACGGCCCTATTTTGTGTCATCGGCTACTTTGACGATGTCGCCTCTTTAAGCCACCTCATCTATGTCGTTTATGTAGATTGTGAAAACAGCAGGGGGCCCAACAATGACCCTGTGGGATCACCGCTCGTGACGCTTTATCCCACTCTGTTTTCTCCCTTTTATGCATACTCTCTGATGCCTATTTGTCCAACCATGCCTCTATCAGGGAAAAAAAAAAATAAAAAATTTCTCCTCCTATTCATGGGCTTAATTTTACCTCAATAGTATTGATGTGGGGACCCTGTCAAAAGCTTAACTGAAGTCCATTTAAACAATATTCCATTTCATTCCATGATCTACTCCTCAAATATCTTAGTGATTTAAAGTTTAATCAAATTCGTTAAGGCAGGAACGCCCCTTTGTAAAACCATGGCTGAGATTCGTGTTTAAATTTATGCTTTTCAAGGTGGCTACGAACTGCCCTCTCAAGAATTATTGTGATTCCATTAATTTTTCCCACTATGCGAGGTTAGGTTTACTTGGTCTATTGTTCGAAGCTATGGTCTGTCAACTGATTTTGAAAATAGTTATCACATTATGCCATTTTCCCATTATCTGGCACCATGGCCAGTTTTGTAGTGTTATGTTGAAAAGATTAGAGAATAGGTGTGCTAAAGTCCTCTTTACATTCCTTTGAACCCTTGCATACAGTTATCAGGGCCTAGGGAATATGTTACGTTCTTAATTTATCAATTGCTAGACCATGTCACTTGTGACCCTAATCGTGCACAGGTTTATTTTCGATTCCTGTTCTACAAAATTTATCATTAATGGAATATCGCTGGTGTCTCCTGTTGTTAAAAACTGAGAGGAAGTATGTGTTAAAAATTCTACACATTTCCTTATCACTGTCAGTGAGCTGACCCGAGGAACTTTTGTTATGTATGATAATCTATGTAACTGTATTTGTGTATACCTGAATAAACTTACTTACATACATTCGAATGGAATAATTTTTCTCAAAGTTACCACCGTAACACATTTTCTCATATTTGTTAGATTAGAGAAAATGTTATTCTTGGCATCACTTGTACAAGTTATCTGGCTACCACATCTCATATTTATGTTTATTTATTCTATTGTAGGGTGTATTTATCATCTTTTTTTGTTATGTATCGTGTTTATTATATAATTTTGAAAAAAATCATCATGGATGGATAATGAAAATGTGTATATTATCGTAATATACAACTTGGAATGAAGACTCGGTGATTTTTATTATTATTTTTATTATTAGCATTTCTAATATGGCGTCACTTGTTGCAAGTCGTCTGCTACCACATTCTCATATTTTGTTATTTATTCTATTGTGGGATGTATTTATCATCTCTTTTATGTTATGTATCGTGTTTTATTATATATATTTTGAAAAAATATCATAGATGGATTAATGAAAATGTGTTATTTATACGTAATATTCGACATTTAAATGAGGACTCGATGATTATTATTATCATTACTAATTGACATCTGGAGACATAAGGACACTATCTTACTGATTTTAATGATGTACCTGCATGCCAGCACAGTGTCGTAAGTTTATTGTTTAAGTACAGGTATACATAAGTATAATTATCAGAGTAGATATAAAATAGGAAATAACTTTTAATAACATTTGAATTTTGGAGTTTCCAGACAAAAAATGGGAGAGACTTAGTGCTTACTTGAGCTCACGGAGATGTAAAACAAACAAGGTTGGGGCGCGGTGGACCGTATAGAAAGTCAGGTGGGGGGAGCGTATAGGGTTTTGGTCATAATTGAAATGGACCGTATTAGCGGAACGCAGTAAAGTGATACGCCGTAAAGTGGGGGCCCTGCTGTATATACGAGGGATCCACCCGTATGTTTAGGTGCATGCATAAGTCTTACTTCACTTGCTTGATTAGATCTGCAAAATATTGCAGAAGATAACTTTTCTCAAATCACATCATAATACAAATGCTTCAAAAATTTGAATTATTTCCACATGAATTATGTCAGATACTGCAATGTTGAAAAGTGCTTAGTATGTGTGTATTTTTTTTTCCAGGATCATCAGTTGGTTACAGGAGCCCTTGGATTCGCCTACCGAGGATACCGCCAAGTCCTTCTTGCCTTTCATTCCATAGAGAGACAACATGCTGGCACATATGTCTGTGAAGCTTCCAACGAGGCAGGAGTTCATTCTCAAGCCATTAAGGTCATTGTTGGTAAGCGGTTGAATTCTGTCAGATTTTACATTTGGGGGGACTTGCTTTCATTCATTACTGTACTGTTCTGTTAGACATAATTCCAAAGGAGATATGATACAAATATTGAGAATGCTCTTTTAAATTCTACGTTTAAGAAAATTTTAAGAAACAGATAACTTTCTCTAAAACAAAGGAACACCTCCTTTCTATTATCAGTACCGTAAACAACCTTAACATCATTGCAAATAAAATTATTCCTCAAGCTCAAACCAACAGCAGTAGCTATCTGGCTGGTGGCCTGGTAAAGGGCATGGCCTGGTAAAGGGTTAATTCATTTTACCTGGCAAAAATAGCTTTAACAATAAAATCACCTGTAAATACTTATAGTATGCAATGAGATACATATTATTATATTAATAAGTTACACAAGTATTATCTCACGTCTGTTGCCAATGCTGTTCTACAAATCATTTGAGGGACCGATATTTGGGATGTTCTCAAGAGAGCCAAGATAATAACCATGCACAGAGGTCATTATTCAACGGATATTAATAACTACAGACCAATCTCTGATTTCCAGTACTATCATATATTGAGAAACTGAATTCCCGATGCAACTGTAACATTGTATACTAATTATAGTATGTTCCATTTTTCATAATTTGGTGTTGCAGCTTAAAAAACTCTAATGCATGAATTATAATAAATACGTAACATCGACACTGTTTATTCAGCACTTGAAAGAAATGAGTATCCTATTGTTGTCTGAAAGGCCTTTGATACAGTTGACCACAGCATACTCCTACTCAAGCTTAATTACCATAAACTTAGAAGACACAGTTACACAAACTGCAGTTTTGTTTGGATTTTCTGATAATACTGTTAAAGGAGGAAGAATAGTTATACTCATAACCTTAATTTTTCAAGGGGTGGACTGGTAAGCTAGTGGAAGGCCTTGGTCAGATGGCCAAAAGCTCCAACTGTGGGTCATCATATGACTAAGACCCACATCAGGAAACATTTCCCCTGTTTCCTGACAATCTTACTTAACCTAACTGGAGAAAGTTGCAGAGTATCCCTTTACTATTTCTTTGAAAATGAGGCCTAATCTGTACTTTTTCTCATCGTGTTTCTTGTCAATTGATTTGAGCAAAAAACAAGGTAAAATACCCATGTAATACAGGGAGAAAGGGCGTTACTAGCCCCTGGCTCCGGCTTTTAGTCGGGCCTCTTTACAACACGCATGGCTTTCGGAGAACGAATTCAAGTTCTCACTTCTCCATAGAGGGAAGAGGAACAATAAACAAGAACAAGAACTAGTAAGAAAATAGAAGAAAACCCAGAGGGGTGTGTATATGTATGCTTGTATATGCATGTGTAGTGTGACCTAAGTATCAGTAGAAGTAGCAAGACATACCTGAAATCTTGCATGTTTATGAGACAGAAAAAAGACACCAGCAATCCTACTATCATGGAAAACAATTACAGGCTTTTGTTTTACACTCACCTTGGCAGGACGGTAGTACCTCCCTGGGTGGTTGCTGTCTGCCAACCTACTACCTATGAAGCAAGTGATTTTTTTTTTTTTTCAACAAGTCGGCCGTCTCCCACCGAGGCAGGGTGACCCAAAAAAGAAAGAAAATCCCCCAAAAGAAAATACTTTCATTCATCATTTCAACACTTTCCCCACTCACACATTATCACTGTTTTGGCCAGTAATAATGTGTAGTGTGGTGTGAAAGTGTTGTATGATGATGAAAGTATTTTACTCTTTTGGAGATTTTCTTTCTTTTTTGGGTCACCTGCCTCGGTGGGAGACGGCCCGACTTGTTGAAAAAAAAACATCACTGGCCTTCAAAGGTTGTAGGTTGGAAGACAGCAACACCAGGGAGTACTACCGTCTTAGCAAAGGTGAGTGTATAAAACAACAAGCCTGTTAATTGTTTTCATGATTGTAGGATTGCTGGTGTTATTACCTACAAAATATTTATCTTAGGCCCAGCTGCAGATTCAAACATAAGGATTCCTTTTCCTTGGCAGTAAGTAGATGGATTTCTTCAGCTATACAATGACAATGGTTTCAATTTACATTCTGTTCAGCTTTCCATCCAAAATCAAAATTCTTATTATTTTGTACAATGTGTTTAGTTTACATGTAATTAAATTATTGTTAAACACAAAGAAAGCCATTAGCATGCATGGAGCATTTTGGCTATTTATTTATACATTTTTCAGAAATGCCTGATGCTGTTTGGTTGAAATTTACATACATTTATATTATACCAGAAATTCTCTTTCAGCTTTGCATTTTTACACATTGTCTCCAGGTGGTCGCCACCACTGTGAGCTGCATGAAAAATGGTTTTGGAAGGGAAACTATCGGTGGTTTTTACCCATTCTGAAATTACCAATTTGAGATTTGTACTTCTGAAAGGGAATTGTGATTATGTTTGTTATAATATTGTGAGTTTCTTCTGAATAGTAGTGAAACCTTGCTAGAAGGTCTAATTTGAGTTGAGATTTTACTTGCACAATCACCTCTTCCATCCTGCAAGAAGGAGAACAAGGGGTCTTAGTGTAAATTATAGGACAGTGGAGTCATATTATATAAATTTGTCTGCACAAGCACCAGTGGTAGATCAGTGAAATGTGTGAGAAGATGTAGTAAGTGCTTTTAACTACTGGAAAGAAAAAAAAATAGTATGTGGATAATTGTAGGTGTGACACCATGAGCATAAGTATACAGTGGACCCCCTAATTTCAGTGATTAATCGTTCAGAGAGTCTGCCAAAAGTCGAAATTCATGAATTTCAAAACCATTTTCCCATAAGAAAAATAATGCAAATTCCAATTAATCCTTCAGACACCAAAAGTATTACAAAATTGTTTTTTTAGAGATTAAATATAGATTTACATAAGAAATAATGAGAAATCAAGTATAAAACAATAATATCCCCTCATTTAGTTTATTGAGAATCTTGTTGTGTATGGAAGACGGGAGGAGGGAAGAGGTTAGGGTGTGTTCCTCCACAATTGTTTGCACCTCATGCACTTTGCAAAATGTCCTTAATCTTTGAAGAAGGCACCTTCTTCCTTCTCTCTTCTCCTCCTTGAAGCGTTTTCCTCACTCTGTTGCTACATAAGAAAATAAGAACAGCATGAACACGCAGCAGAATGGTGGCATACTAGCAGGCCTTCAAAACCATCACAATACAGGAATATTTGCCGAACCCAGTTTTCATGCTTCCAAGCAAATTGACTTCCAGTAATTTTATTCACTCAGTGCAAGTCCCACTCAAATCAATTCATGTGTGTTGGGAAGTACCCTGGTGGTTTGTGTGGGGGGAGTACCCTGGCTCGTTATGGGAAGGACCCTTGCTGGTGTGTGTGGGGTATGTACCCTGGCTGGTGTACATAAGGAACTTAAAGAAAGCAGGATACACTGCAGCAGGGAACCTATTGGCTCATTACTAGGCAGGTCTTACAATCCATCACCAATACAGAATATTGGCCAACCCAATTTTTTCGATGCTCCCCAAGCAATAAGTTTGAGAATTCTGTTCTACTCATGCTCAAGTCCCCACAATCAAATCGTGGTGTGTGGGGAAGTACCCTGGCTGGTGTTTGTGGGGGATATACCCTGGACTGGTTCGTGTGGGGAAGTACCCTGGTTAGTGTGTGTGGGGAAGTACCCTGGCTGTGTGTTCGTTCTTGAATTCTATCATGTTTCTCGCCTTCTTTACAAAGGGCTGGCACTAGGTGCTTTCTTTTTGGCCAATGGTGCTTTATTTAGCAGTTGCAAAACATCAAAAAACAATGGATTATTATGAAATTTATCCATAGGACTCATGGGGGGGTGGTTAACTCTCTGAGAAACAATGCCAACTTGACTCTGAATAGTATGTGTGGGAGCCTTTTGTGTGCGCTACGGCTGCTGGTAGGTTGCTCGGACATTACGTTTTCCATATGATTGACCGAATTTTGAGGGCAAATCAAAAAGTGAGGAGGTACAGTGGACCCCGCTTACCGTTATTAACCGTTCCTGAGAGCTCTATTGTTTATGCGAAATTATCGTTATGCGAATGAATTGTCCACCATTAAGTAATATTGGAAATCAAATTAATCGTGCAAGACACCCCAAGTCTGATAAAAAAAATCGTTATACCACATGAAATATTAATATTAATTCACACAAACTGAAAAAGACATGCCAACAGTTACATGACAATAACTTTATTGAAGAGCTGGTGCTGATTGATGGGATGGGGGGGAGGAGGAGTGAGTCTTGTGTTAGAAGGGGAATCCCCTTCATTAAGACTTGAGGTGTCAAGTCCTTTTCCGGGGTGGTTACTTCACTCTTCTTTTAATGCCACTGACCAGCTTCAGAGTCACTGGACTTCTGTCGCACAACATATCTGTCCATAGAGGCCATGTACCTCCCGTTCCTTTATGACTTTCCTATAGTGTTCACAAAACATTGTCAGTGTAATAGTCACCCAGCACGGTTGCATAAGCTGTGTTTAGGGTTGATTATCTTCAAAAAAAAGGTTGCACTGTAAGCCACATTCCATAAATTTCCTTATTCTTTGAAGTAGGCAACTTCTTCAATGTCTCTCGCCTCCTCCGAAGCAGTTTCCTAAGGTCTGGCCTATTGGGGCTTGTTTGCGGAAAAAAAAAAGTTGATCTGCAGCTTCATCAGTGGTTAGTTCTTCATTGTCCTCCTCCACAACATTTCCACATAATCCCCACTAACCTTCCAACACAAGACTGTCCCCAATGCCACAATGGGGATTCCCCAACTGGCATAGGTTTCCCAGGGTTAGCACTCAAACCTTCAAAATCACTTGGTCCTACACTTCTGGCCTCAGTTTCTTCCAAGCAGAGTTCAAGGTCCTCTTAGTCAACTCCCTCCAAGCCTTACCTATAAGGTTTAACAATGAGGATATTAAGTGCTCTCTCCAAAACTTTCTCTTAGAGTAAATTGGTTTCTGAAGTCACTTACCAAAGCCACCTTTTCA